CACACACACACACACACACACACATACACACACACACAAACACAAACACACACATACACACACACGCACACACACACCAGAAAATAACCGAGCGAACATAATGGGAAATAATAATACAACTTTGTAAGACGAGACGCTACCATGGTTTGGAGCTAAATCTTTCAGGTGAAGGTCAAGCACGTATCCAAATTCTGGCATATAAGTAAACTTGTTGGGTTCTCAATTTGGAACTTGGTTAACTTATGACGCAATTCCAAGGTCTCCACTTGATGTGGAGCCACATTGTGTGTTGCTCTGGCATCACGCCCTCGGACATTTTTAACGTATATCAAGACTTTTCCCCAATTTGCTTCGTCAGACTTTTGGTGAAATCTCTTTTGTCACTTTGACCGCCTAAAACTTTCCAACCACTTAACTTTCGAATTTGACAAAATTAATGGTGGTTCAGAATCTTTTAAAGGGTACACAGTTTTATTAAGGAGCCTGAAGTTACTGTAGTTTATTTTCAGTTTTTCATTAGTTTCGTTTAGATCTAATTTTGGAAACGTCCGTCTTCTAAGACGTCATTGTAAACAAGTGAGGCTTCCTTTCAAAAGCAGCACGGACTGTTCCACAATGACTTGACGATCGATTCGTTTGAGTTCGTTTATCGAACGGGGTAACCAACTAGTCATATAATAATAATATTTGCACGCTGTGGTTTAAAAACAAGAGTAGTATAACCGGTGATGCGAGAGGCAAATCGTTTTTCTTTCATTGTATTTCTTTTGTTCCTATATTGAGGGAGAGCGTTCGTATAGAGTGTGTGGGGGTGGGTTGATGTAACCGGATGTGTTTTGTTATTGCTGCGGGTGTCGAAATGGGAGACAGAGGTTGCACATCGACCAAGAAATGCCATCCTAAAGTACGTGCAACAGTTTAGATGTTTTATAATAATAACATCTTGGAGAAAGTTGTTTTGGTTCAATTGAAGAATCATTTAAAAGAAAACAATTTATATGAATTATATCAATCTGCCTATCGGCAATTTCATAACGCAGAAACTACGCTATTGAAAATATATAACGACCCCTTGTGAGAGGCGGATGAGAACAAAATATCAATTCTTTCTCTTCTTGATCTTAGTGCTGCCTTTGACACTATAGATCACACTATTCTTATTGAACGATTGTTCAACACGTTTGGCCTGTCTGGCAGGGTTTTTGACTGGTTCAGGTCCTACCTGATTGGCGCACACAATCTGTGGTTGTGCACGACTCT